ATTTAAGCTTGCAAATTGAAATGAACAGCTTGGTATACACATGTTAAAGGTCAAGTAAAGCCACATACACATCACATATATGATATATGACAGATAGCAAACACAATTGAGGCCAAGGCATGTATGAATATGACTGTTGTATGTAAGTTGCAAAATCACATAAACATAACAATGCATAACAAGGTGACTTTTGGATTTTGGGTGTTTTGATTTGTTCCAATCATTCTAACATCTTAATCATGTCATATTAAGTGTGTGCAAATGAAAACATTCAAACTGGAACACACATATGAGAACATAGCATTCAATTTGCAAATGGTGTGTATTATGTGTGTGTGAAGCATGATGTGGGGTGATTCTTTGTACAGGTCATTTTTAATGCTTTGGCTCATCTAGACATGTCATATATGTTCACATAAAGCTGTAGCAACAATAAAATACCAAGTATAAACAAACATTTCCAAGTTGGTGTGTGAGAATGAGGCCTTTTGCAAAATGGTGCATGATGATGCATAGATGAAGTTTCAGAATTAATTCAAGCAAGCTAACCATTTGTACAGCACAAATACATGATAATGAGATGATTCAATCATTAAAGTTCCAAAGAATTCACCTGTCATGAGAATTGACCATGCATATGCAAGTTATTCAAACAAGTATGCACATGAGTATGTGAATTTTGATTCTTGGCTTTTTTTCATCAAATTAAGGTTCCAACACATTATACATGAACCATATAAGGTGTATGTGGAGTGAGTTTGAGAAAAAACAAGATTTGGTGCAAAATTGGTTTTTTGGTGTTTATGTGTTCTTTTGTGTCATTTGGTGTCAATGTGTGAAATTTTGATGCAATGCTTAAAACAACAAGATTAATGCACACACATGTTTCAAATGATCATTAAGACACGTTAGAATGATGAAAATGTGCTTGTCATGCTTTGTGCTAAAAATGACCAAGTAAGTGCTTTGGTGTGTTTTGGAGCATTTGTGTTCATATGTGATTTTGTCATGATACACAAAACAACATAATAAGCACGTAGACATATCTAGAAAGTACATGGAAACATGCTTGGCAAAAACCACTGACACAAACTAGCAGTAATACATGAAGCAAACTAACATCAAAACATGAAGCAAATCTTACCAGCACCTATGAAACAAATCTTGGCAGCAAAAGAATTTGGATTACCTCACACCAGCAACATCAACCAAACAGTAGGAATGTGTACATACTAATCCAAATAAACTGTGACATAAAACCTGTTTATTGGGCTTCCAATATATTGCTATGTTATAGTGGACCAATCACTGGTACAGCAGCACAATTTTTTTTACTTTCATGCTTGTGACAGCATCCACACTATGAAGCCAACAGCCTTGTTACTCAAAATTATCACATGACAGTTTTGGCACTAAACCCTTTATGATAGCCACCTTATATTTTTGATCTCAATCATTTAAATTCATATAGCATATTGGTAAAACAAAGGCAAGATGCTTACCAAACATTAACAAACATCATTGAAATCACCATACATTTCATAACTCAAAGTTCACAAAAATCACTCAAAATGCCCAAGTCATGGAAGTATAAAGCAAGAGATGCTACATACCTGTTGAAGTTTCTTGTGAGCAAGCCAAGAGTGTTGAGAAAACCAGAGGTAGTGAAATCCAAGCTTTGGTATTGTGCTCTTACTTGAACTTTAAGAAACAATCCAAATGAGATGCCAAAATGAGATTTGTGAGTTCTTTATGACAAATGAAGGTTTGGACAGTTGATATATATTATATTTGAGGTGTTCAAATGGTTAAAACCTCAAGAAGATGTTTGGAGCAAGGTTTGGAGGTTTTTGTGGACTTTGGTCAAAGTAAGTTCCATGGAAAGTTGACTTTTGGATTCTTTGAGTTTTTGGGTGGTTTAAGTGTTTGTACACCTCCTATATATGATTTATAGGATGTGTGGATGAAGATTTGAGTGCTGGAACATGTGTAGCTCAATATGGTAGCAAAATTGCAAAATGCTGAATTTTGGCAATTTTGGCTACTTTGGTGATTTTGCAAAATGTAAGTGAGAGAGAGGTGTGATGAGAGGGCTCCTTTTAGCAGGTTTTCAGAATGATGTTGATGTCCCAAATGAGGGGTTTGAGGTCCCTATTTATAGAATTATGAAGTGAGGAGCTTGCTAGGTAACCTTGCTTCACCATGAAGAAAACTAAGATATTTCCATCCAATTGTCCACTTGCCTTGCTTTTTCTGGTTCTTGGCTGTCTCCCTAACCCAATGGGCAAGTTTTAATGATGTTTTTACTGAGAAAACACAGCCTAGAGGCTTGGTAGAGTGGCTGGAGCAGAATTTCTTTACACCTCATGCTTGGAAAAGTCAAAGTTTTCAACTTAGGCAATGAAACTTCAAACTTTAATTCCATGATGTTTCCATGATAACTTTCTGTTCTAACATGCTAAGAATGTTCAATATATCAGGTAGAAAGAGTTGGGCAAGTGGAAATTGGCTCACTTGAGTGATAGAGGTGCTTTTGCAATATTGGTCAATGTGGGACTAGTATGACAAAATACCAACTTTGAACACATGTATCTCTCAGCTCATAACTCACCTTGAGATGTTCTTGTACAATTTAGAAAGCCCTCACATAGTACTAAAACTTCCATGTTGGCCGGAAATCTTGATTCTATTTGAAACTAGGTGAAAAATACCTTTGAAGTTGGCTGATTTTAGCTTTTAAAGTGAAAATAACTTAGAAATTTTCTAAGTTATTTTCCCTTCTAGGAATGTTTTTGCTTATATCTCAAAAAGTATGCATTTTCTGGTTGTGGACTAGTATGGGACTTTTGTAGGACTTGTCAAGAGCTTTCAAATGAGACTAGAACCAACTTAATTGGATGTGTGGTTAAGGAGATACGGTTTAGCCCTTTTCAAAACCCTAATTTCCCGATTTCTCGATTACTCTCTCATTCTTGATCCAATGACCATGAAAATTGATATGCAAGTCCATTATGACATAAGGAACAACTTTGATTCACAACTTGGATTCCAATTCTCAAAATTTGAGGAGTTGACTTTTCGGTCAACCGTACGATCGATCGGTGCCGATCGAGTCGCCTGTTGATATTCTGGACATCCTGGGACTCTGAAACTTCTTGAATAGTCTTTAATAGCCTATATTAACTTCATGGACCTCACTCCCACCATTAAAACCTTTTCCAACATCAAAGTCAAACCACAGTTGACTTTCCACTGGTTAAAAACCCTAATCGGGGCCTCCTGACTGCACTGTTCTTGATTCTGAAACGATTCCTTCCAATTGACTTCCCATTTGACTTTTATATTATCTTTGACTTCATTCCATGATTGAATTGGCCCAAATCATTGGTTGATCATTCCTTGATTGTTTTGAATTTGTCGGTGCGAGAACCCTGATTCATCTGTAACTTGACAATAATAAACTTGCACTGATTTAGGGTTAGATAATTCATGATCATGCTTCTAAAAATGATAATGAGGATCTAAGGGGTCAAAATTTGGGGTACAACACTACTCTAATATAATATCAAAGATATTATAAAACCTTGATGTATCAACTAACATTAAGAAAATACAAATCACAAAAGAACTAAATTTAAAAAATCAACAAACATCTCACCGATTAAGTATCGAAGAACATGTGTCACCAAATGTTAAGTGAGTACAAATTGTGTCAGTTGATGCAGAGCTTAAACTAATTCCCTCTTAATTATAGGAAAAGATAGTTTACATATAAGTTATATGGTAATCACTTATTGAATAAGCACTTAATTAACTTGTATATATATTAACATCCTTTAATCCTATCTTACATAGGACTGTAGTTGTTAATCTAATTTGAGCATAACATCTTCCACCAGATCTCTTCTAGAGGAGGATTCCTTTAGGGGCTCAAAACATTCATGCATCACAGAAAGAGCAACATTCAGTTTGCTGTAACTTTATGCCAATAATCCACTTTTACTACTATCAACATCACAACTCTCGGAGTCATACACTTCACCACTGTCCATGTTAGATCATCCACACCCACTGAAATCGACTCTCCCAACATTATTTGAAGGCCTTCACATAACTGTGAAAAAATTGACAACAAAAATTTAGTATGACATTAAACTTAATTGGACTTGCTATTGCCAAGTCATAACATGTAATTTCTCCAAAATCAGTCTTCATTAATTCTATTAGATTTCATGTGCAAGCACCGGCAAAAATCACATATAACGAAGTATCAAGGAAAAATATAATTTTATTTCAAACAAGATAAATTACCAAATTTCTACAAAAACATTGCTAAAACTTTCCAATAACTTAAGGGGATGCATTGAATATATACTTGTTCATAATCTTTTCCGCAGAACCGGCTTTCTGCATAATTTATGGACTTACATGTATCTCTACTAACGATTAACAGAATGGGTTTTCTCATAGTAACTAAGTATACGCAACACCATTATATTGAATGTGACTACAATCATAAAAATAAAAAGCAATATAAAAAGCAAATGAATTCCCGGACCAACTACAATCAAGTAGGTAATCGGAGGCTATATGTATTGATATGGAGGAGTAAAGACCTGATATCAATTTATACAATATTTTTTCCTCCTGGCATGATTCTTGTGAAAGATCTGTCAAAATTTATACAATATCAGTTACATAGTGCTCCTGAAATCACCGAGACATACATACATAGGTATAAAAGAGTGTTGTTCCTCATGAATAATCAAATTCAAGCTATCTTTCACTCAAGAAATAAATTATTAGAACAAACTAGTATTCACTCCACAAGTGACGAACTAGATATTAGATTGTTGAAAAAATGTAACGTCTATCAGTCTGTCAATGTGATGATATGAAAAGTACGATTCATCTACCAAAAATAAAATCATGTTTTTCTTTTTGCAAATTATTAAAGAATTTTGGTTGTTTCCTGAAGACGACTTACATTTGGTCCAGTTCTAAGAGTAGACAGCATCCCATATCCTTCTTGCAGATGGACCAGTGTAACCGGTATATCTTTCAGGATTCAATAGAAGATTCACATATGTCATCTCATCTGTAAATTCAACCATTAGAATGATTTAATTGCATAACAGTGTAATAGTATGAAGTATTTTACACTGCATGTGATTTCCATGGTGCTCCTGCTACCTCTTTAAAAGGAAACTACTTAATATTTTAGTATGATAAACTAGCGCTATAAACAGAAATCATTCAAACATGAACTCGTTAGACAGAGTAACACACCATTGTCAGTCTCATCATCATTAGTCCATGGATTGTCTATTTCTGTCCATCCTCCTCTGAAAGCTTTACTATCCAAAGTACAGTCAATTGCTGCCTCAGGTTTTCCTTCTTGACAAACAAGATCATTCAACGGAAGGCGATTAGGCTTCTTAAATGACTCAGGGAATTCATTTTCTGCGCATTCACATACACTACAGTCCCGCAATCGGAACATACCATCATCAGGAAAAATACTCAAAGGAAAAATAAAATGTTGACGAAGCAGTGTTTATAAAACCTTTCCACTTCCTGGACCAGCTACAATCATTAAAGGAGTGGAAACATCAATGGAAGCTGCTTCTCTTTGTCTATCATTTAGGGATTCCAAGTATTTAGAATATTCCTCCGGTATGGTTCCACTCAATAAACCTTGCCTAGTACTATCACTATGCACACATTCTTCTTTATGATCCAAAGCAATCCCAGGACTAAACATGTCACCATTTCCTATACCCTTAGAAACAAAACTAGTTCCTGAAACCAATTCAACATTACTAACTACACCGCTCTCACTCAAAACTTTTTCATGACAACTATCATCTAACCCCAGCCAGAATGCTTCCACCATAGATTTCTGCTCACAAAGAATATCAATTTGCTCCAAAATAGATATAATTGGATATTTCTTATGAGAAATAATACTTCCACATCATTTTAATGAAATTTTTGTGACTATCAAAATACATACCTTGAGGAAGCACGCCACTCATCAATCGATTTTGTTCTTGCACGCCTAAGCCACCAGATCCGCTGCTTCCATTTAAATTTAGACGTGAAGCAAGACCAGGAATGGACAATCCTACAGAGCTTATCCTCCCAATGTTTCCCCAAGCAACCATGCTTCCCATCGAACTTGTTATCCTCGGACCTGCATTTCCCAAAATTGGGGATACTCTCAATCCTGGAACAGCATTACGGTTACCAATTGCAGCAGAAGTTGGAAGAATCCTAGGAATAGAACCTGCAACTCCATTTGTGCTACTATTAAATCCATGATTTCCTATAACACTTATACCTCTTCTACTGTTGACTCCTGAATGTCCGTGAGAGCTTCCATGAGATAGCTGCAAATATGATGTATAGACATTTGGAAATACTTTAAACTAAACACCAGTGGAAAGATAATGAAAGACAGAACAGATAAGTATGCTCAATAGCTCAACAATTATCCTCAAGATGTTCAAACACAGGCACTCATATGTACCTGTGACAGAGCAGTAGGTAGATTATTTGATGAAAATCTTCCACTCGAAAGACTTGATGTAGGTTGTTGAACTGCTCCAGATGGCATGCTGTTTATCGTTGAGTTTCTTGATGCGAGTGTACTGGGCATGTTAGGAATGTTAAACCTCCCGTGCATGTTGTGAAACCCCTGAATACCACCTGCAGCAAAAAATTAGTGATTATGAAAATAAATAAAGAAGACAATAAAAAGGATTGATTTCGGCACAATCTTCCCACCAGTGTGCTGATAAATTGGAGAGGCTGCACAAGACTGACTAGAGAATGATGTAGTAAAAGAATGCCCAACACTGTCTGGAATATTTGAAGCAGATTCGTTCAGAGAAGACTGCAAATAGAGCTCTGTTATAATTTACATCAATAGTGAATGAAAGGCCAGAAAAATAATATGGGCAGACACGATCAAACAAGCCAAGGACTCTAAATCAAACAACAAGCATAATAGAGAACCCGACATTGCTTAAGCATGTAAGAACCCGAGGAACACCCTCACTTGTAACCGACATTTCTTAACCAACATATACTTTTGGAAGATCTCCTGCATGATAAGCTTCGTCATCAGACACTTTCAACTCTTATATAACACAGTACAGACACTTCGATTTCAAAAGTATATGTTGTCAAAAGCCCTCTTCAAGTTTGCAGCATGATAGTAATAAGAATAGTTTGAATATTCTAATTTAATGTTAACATTGTCTTATAAGTAAGTCATCATCGATCAATAATAATAGCTTAATCGTAGAGTTTGAACATACCATTAGCTGGGATCTGGAACCCTTTGAAAGGCTAGGTTTAGTGAGGAACTTGGTGACTATTTTATGCTTATGAGGATATATAAATTTATTAATTATTACATATGAATCTATCCGGTCTTTTCTCAATCTTCCCTACCATGTGACCAGGTATACCAAGCACCATAGGTTGGAAGGTTAATCAAATGATTATTAATCATCTATTGAAATTATTTTTCAATACAAAAATTATATTTTGAATTAATTTAAAGTCAATTAGCTAATTGAACTACTTTCATTTACCAATTAAACAAAAAATAATTAGATAAAATGACTATTAACTTTTCTAACTCAATCAAGGTCTCAGGTTCAAACTTTGGCTTACATATCCAGTCGGGATAAAACTCTAAGAGTTTACTGCCCATTTTGGACCCAACAAGGCTAAAAGCTTATAAGATTAGTCTCAAGAGTTACATGGAGAATACCTAGTTTACACACAACAAAACTAAGACCCAACAAACACCTCTAAAATTGTTTGATATTTAGGATTATAAGTGTCTTAAAATTAAAGATTATTACAACAGAGAAACAAACAAAATGTGTTCTTGAGTTTTGCCATAACTGATGATTGACAGGCTAAGGTTCTATGTGCACTGCTACATTAAATACAATCTTTACAAAGTATGCAAAACATAAGCAGTTAATATTTTCCCTTACAACATTTAGTCTGAGTCCAATTTTCCAAATCAAAAGAATTCCAAACTTTTTTTACCCCCTTTTAAATTAACAACAAACATAGGATATATTATAACTAAACCAAAACTGCATAGGAGTTATGGCTTCACACTGATCAAAAACTGCAAAAATAAATTCACATTACTCTTCATCGCTGTCGTTTCCAAATATAGAGGTCACTGGAACATTTTGCTTCTTTGAAACATTTTGCTTCTTGGCACCAACAGTGTTCTGCATAAAAGGAGAGGGGTGTTACTGTTGGCATATAAGTATTTAGGCACAAAGTTGGTTCATCATAAGAATGCAATAGCATCATCAGGTACTACACTAAGAGTACTGGGTTGGTAGGGTTGAAACAGTTTAAGAATTGAATTTAAACAAAACATCATGAGCTAGATGATGAAGTCTAAAAATATGATAAGCATTCCAATTTCAAACCCCATGGTACACTACAAGAAAAAATATAGATTATTTTCAAAGCCATGATACCAGTTAAATATACCTTGGAAGCAAATCCTTTAGAAGAAAACCCAAACTTCAAAGTATTTCGCTGCTCCTGATCTGTTAGCGCGGTAGCAGTCCTAGATTTTGAGGAAACTGAAACTGGTGTTGAGCCAGATTCTTGCTGGAGTTGAAGTCGTTGCTGCTTTTGAGCATCAACACTGATTGGCATTAAGGAAACCGATAAGGAAGATATCATGGGAACAAGAACAAAATTGGAAATAAAAATCAGAACATTGATTCTTTCCCCGGCTAACATAGAACTCAACCATAGCCAAAATAAAATGGGCGAGGAGGGAGTAAAATTAATACTTAGACAGATAAAAGGATACGTTTGAGCAAACTTGGCCAATTCTTTCTCTTGTCGTTGCTGCTCTCGCTTTCGCCTATCATCCCGACTGCTGCTACCATGCATTTCCGTCATTTGTTTGAAACACTGCATATTTAACATCAACTATGAAACATTAGGTAGGGCAAGAAAAACAAAGGCAAACTGATGTTGGGTTGAACGCCACTGTAATCAAACAAAGGCTCGAGTTCTTCGATTTCTCCCTGCAAAGTGGAGAAAAAATTGCAAATTTAAGTTTTGAAATCGAAAGAGGAACCCTAATTATTTGAAATTGAGTACGAGAGGCTTACCGACATTGTCGACCTTTCTCAATAGTTGGATGTCGATTGTGGTTTCACATAATCACAAGTCACTCTCCCACTTTCAAATTGAAATTCACGACGATTATGACGTGAAAGGGGTACTAAGTAGCCGAGCAAATCGCAACTGCACCTGCAGAGAAAAAGAAGACTACTATCAAAGGTTTATTCCCTCAATTTTTACAAAACGGGTTATTAGTATTTGTCAAACAAATATAAGTTTGAAATGTTAAAAATATATATATATATATATATATATATATATATATATATATATATATATATATATATATATATATATATATATATATATATATATATATATATATATATATATATATATATATATATATATATATATATATATATATATATATATATATATATATATATATATATATATATATATATATATATATATATATATTAACATTGTTATCAAAATTAATTTTATAAAAGTTAACTATTTATATAATAAAGCAGAAAATATTTTACTATTATTTTAGACAAAAATATTAAGCTACATTGTCATGAAAATTATAATAATTATAATAATTATTTATTAAATTAATTGATAAAAATGAAAAGGTTAGAAAATGAAAATGAAGAAAAAAGTGGAAAATTAAAGGAATAAAAAAAATAGTGATTATGACTGGCTAAAGTAATTGCGACAGTTCGCCTTAACTGTCGCGAGTGTGGAAAGAGGGCGGTTCTTTTGTAATTGTCGCATTATTTTATACAACATGCCTAAAAAATTTGCGACGGTTGGCTCAAACCGTCGTGAGAACTGTCGTAGTCCAGGAATAAGGATGGTTTTTTGATAACTGTCACAAAAAATCTACGACAATTGACCCTAAATGTCGTGACAACCGTCGCAATCCAGGAATAAGGACGATTTTGTGATAACTGTCGCAACTCAAGTGTCGTAAATCTCCTTTTTTCTTATAGTGAGATGGATGTGAAGACTGCGTTCTTGTATGGTGATCTAGATGAAACAATCTTGACGAGGCAACCTGAAGGGTGTGTCGAAAGGGGGAAGGAAGATTATGTGTGCAAACTGAATAGATCTTTATATGGACTGAAACAATCTCCTCGATAGTGGAATAGGAGATTCGACAAGTTCATGGCACACATAAGTTTCATTAGAAGTCAGTCCGACCACTGTGTTTACTTCAGATTTCAACCGGGTAATTCATTTGTTATTTTGTTGCTCTATGTGGATGATATTCTAATAGCAAGCAACAATGTCGAAAAGGTAATGAGGGTGAAGGTTGAACTCAATAAAGAGTTCGACATGAAGGATTTGGGAGCTGCGTCCAGGATTCTTGGGATTAACATCTGGAGAGATAGAAAGCAGTTGAAATTATGCGTATCTCAATAGGCATACCTACAGAAGGTTCTCGAAAAGTTTGGTATGTCGAATTCAAAGCCTGTTGTGACTCCGACAAACCCTCAATTCAAGCTGAGTATAGATCACTGTCCCAGCATTGATGTTGAAAGAACTTATATGAATTGCATTCCATATGCTAACATAGTAGGTTCTTTGATGTATGTTATGGTATGTACTAGACCCTGTTGGTGTAAGCCCTAGAGGCCAATACTTTTTGGTACTTGTATCGGATTATTCGTTTAATAATAAAAGGCATTTCTTTATTATGTTTGTCTTTCAGAATAATAAAGTCCCTAGAATAGTTAGTCTGTTTAATGAAATGTTAAGTGTGACTTAATCATGAGATCCCATTAAACATAAAGACATTAAACATAAAGACATTATTCTTAAAATATCCGTAGTCAAGCTTTATTGCAAAGTGGGATAACATTAAAAGCATTGAGACTATTATGAAGATAGACTGATGATCACATCTCATGGATCATGGATAAAGAGTTATCAAGTCTTGACATAGGTATAAATATTAGGAGTAATATTTATATCGGATTGACCCGCTATGAGAATACTACATAGTATGTTATGCAAAGTGTCATAAGTTATTCTCATGGTGATAATGGTGTATTACCACCCTTCGACCTGAAACCACTATGGACCCTAGATGTAGAGTCGGGTGCTTTATTGTTGATCAAACATTATCCGTAACTGGATGATCATAAAGACAGTTGATGGGCACTCCACGAAGCATGCTGAGGGACATGAGTGTCCTAGATGGAATTTGCCAATCCTGCATAACAGGAGAAATGTCTAAGGGCCCAATATTGAACTGGACAAGGATGACACAGTGTATGCCTTGTGTTCAATATAGACATAGGGGCAAAAGGGTAATTGTACAAACATATATTATCACGAAAAAGGTTTTGTCAGATCACATGACATTTTCGTGACTTGGGTAGCAGTGATGTGTTGCTAGATACCGCTTACTGTTTATTATGTTAAATATATAATTTAATATAATTACCAACGTTACGAAATCCTACAGGGTCACACACATAAGGACAGTTTGATGAGAGATAGAGAAATCAAAGGAACACCGTAAGGTACGGTGCACTTAAGTGAAAAATAGAAATTCGGATAATATAATAATAATCATTGTTATTTTATAATGGTTATAAAATAATAATAAAATAAATATATTTATTATAATAATAGTTATTATAATAATATATAATATTATTATGGATCATGTGAATTGGGTTTTTAGCCCGCAGCCCACAAGAGAGTCTATAAAAGGAACCCTTGTGATGAAGCTTTCACTTGATGCAATTTCGTTTTTGATTCTCTTTTCTCACTCAAATAATTTCGTTCGTAAGCAGCTAGCACTGTGACCGGAAGCTGTTCGTGTGGACTGAGTAGAGGCGTTGCACTTCATCAACGCTTGTGATCGCTGCATCAAAGATCTGAATCGCCACAAAGAGGTAACGATTCTATCACTGACCATGCTCATTCGTAAGGATCACTAAAGGAAATTTTTGTTTTCCGCTGCGTTTAGATCGCATTTTTTCCATCAGACCCGACATAGCATATGTAGTAAGTCTTGTAAGTAGGTACATGGCGAATCCTGGAAAGGCTCACTGGCAAGCATTGAAGTGGATTTTAAGGTACATAAATGGATCTCTGAATAGATTCCTAATTTATGGTGGAGCCTTGGGTGAAGATAGTAAAGCAGCAATTGAAGGATATGTCGACTCTGATTATGCAGGTTGTATAGATTCCAGAAAATCTATCTCTGGATATGTGTTCACTATGTTTGAGACAACAATCAGTTGGAAAGCAGCACTTCAGAGGGTTGTTGCCTTATCAACCACTGAAATGGAGTATATTACCCTAAATGAAGCTGTGAAGGAAGCATTGTGGCTTGAAGGTTTTGCAAAGGAGCTAAAATTTCAAGGTCGAGTTATCACTGTTAAATGTGATAGTCAAAGTGCAATACACCTGTCGAAGAATTCAGCCTATCATGAAGGAACCAAGTACATTGATGTGAGGCTGCATTTCACCAGAAGGGTAATCGAGCATGGAGAAGTCCAAGTGCTGAAGGTTTCGACAAATCATAATGTCGTTGATATGATCACCAAGACGTTGCCGAGTTGCAAGTTTTTCCACTGTATGCAGTTAATAAAGCTGCATGAAGAAAGCTAGTTTCTTGATGTTATAGAGTTAGATCCAAGGTGGAGATTTATGAGATATTGGATCGAACTCTAGTATGGTCGAAGTCTGTTTGCGAGTAATGCATGTTGTAGTCGAAGTTTGTTCTAACATGCATTAGTCAATATTGCTAGGGTTGTTAGCATGTTGAATTGGGCCTTGCTTGTAAGCCCAATTGTTTAAGTTAGTTTGTACCCTAAGTTAGCTTGTAATGGGTAATTGTTAAAAAGCCCATTAGGTTAGTGTGTTATTTTTCTTATAAATAGGATACTAGTTTCTCAATCTTGTCATAAGGAAAAACAGGAAGATAAAATCCTAATTTTAAGAGAGAGAGGTTATTTGTTATTCTTGTATACTTGTAATCTTGTTCTAAGAGAAATGAAAGAATAACAGTTTAATAACCAATCCTTGTTGTTTTCTTCTTTATTAACCCTAACCCTTGTGTGTTTCTTGATCATTAAGAAACTGTTTATACTTAGTTTTAAGGTATCCGATTCACAACATATCTCGGTCGCGAAATGACTTTTACCTCGATTACATAGTCGAGGTAACAAACGGTGACATGATAACTTGCCATTTTTCCTTCGATTTTTTTTAAAACTGATGTTAGAAAGTAAATGATCATTGATTCGATCCCTAACAATAACACATTTTCTTTTTTCCAAATTATGTTGCGTGCACCATATTGCTTGAATTAACCCAAAACCTTTTGAGAATTCCTAATCAATATTGATCTCAAGAAAGATTATGTGCAACAACTTTAATGAAAAAAACGAGAAAGAAAGAAAGAGTTTAACAAAATCAAAGGAATAAAAGAATGATTTTCAACTACGGAATCTCTGCCTACAAACTGTGAAAACCTTCTTTATTCACTTTACAACTGCAAAACTGTGAATTTCAGTTATTACAAAATAGGGATTACTCCTTCTATTTGTAATAGAAGAAAGTCCAAAATTACTAATTTTGTTCTAAGTCAAAATTTTGTGACAAGCAACTCGCTTCGACACTTTGACATCTAAACAACTCGACACATACACATTAAGCTAGTTCGACTAATCTTTGTTTCAGTCGAGCTACACTGCTTTGACACAAGGAATTACAATCTCAACGCACCACCTAATTCATTGTGTCTAAGATACTCATCATAAACTTTAGCTTCTTGAACACTTTGATTTGCACTTCTTTCGTCATGATATCTGCAATCTAATTCTCAGTTTTACAGTGTTCCAAATTCATCTTCCCTTCTGCTACCTGCTCTCGAAGATAGTGGAACCTCATTTCGATGTGCTTGCTTCGTCCATGTGCTATTGGATTCTTCGCCAGGTTGATAGTTGACATGATGTTGATCTTCATGGTAATTGCTCCATGACTCTTTATTGTAATCTCTTCAACCAAATTCACCATCTCTTTTGCTTGACATGTACAAAGAGAAACAGTTAGGTATTCTGCTTCACATGACGACAATGTCACTACTGGCTCCTTTCTTGAACTCCAAGCAACTGGTGCACCACCTAACATAAACACATAGCCAGCTGTGGATTTTCTATCCTCATCATCACTACACCAACTTGAGTCGGTGCACCCCACTAACTTGTAATCTTTTCCTTCATCAACTGCAGGAAACAAAATTTCGTAGTCGATAATTTCTTTTAGATACCTTAATATCCTCTTCTTTGCTTATATGTGTGATACATTTGCCTTCTGCATGAATCTACTTGCCATACTCACACTATATGTTAAGTCAGGTCTTGTGTGGCAAAGGTATCGAAATGACCCAATAAGTCTTCTATATTGGGTCGGGTCGACATCATCTTCATCTGAATCTTTTGACAGTTGCATTTTGGGCTCAGTTGGAGTAGAAGTTGGGTTGTAATCTTTCATCTCAAATCTCTTGAGTATTTCGCTTGCATATCTTTTTTGGTGTATCGGCAAACCTCTACCACTTTTATAGAATTCGATGCTAAGGAAATATGAGAGATTTCCCAAGTCTGACATTTCAAACTCCTCACTTAGGTCATGTTTGAAATTTTTGATCTTCTTCTTGCAACTTCATTATTGCTTCTCCTTACATATTCTTCATGCTCAGTTGTGCACTTCACAAATTCTTTCTTACTTAGAAAATTATCGATCTTCTTATTCCAAACTCTTGGAGGTTGATTAAGTCCATACAAGACTTTATGCAGCTTGTACATCTTTCTTTCTTCACCTTGTTTCACAAACTCAGCTGGTTGTGCAACATAAACTTCTTCGTCTAAAGGGTCATTCAGAAATGCACATTTCACATTCATCAGACATGTGTGCCAAATTTTCATGTTTGCTAGACCAACAACCAACCTGATTATTTCGATCCAATTTTTCATGTTTGCTAGACCAATTTTTCATGTCTGAAGAAATTCTTTCGCCACAAGTCTTGCCTTGTGCCGAGTTACTTCTCCTTTAGGATTTATCTTCACCTTGTATACCCACTTCACATCGATTGCCTTCTTGCCTTGAGGCAATTCGACAAGTGATCAAATGTTATTGAATTTGATGGACTCTAGTTCCTCGTCCATTTCTTTCACTCACTTTAAATCTTTCAATACCTTAGTTGTATTGACTGGAATCACATCTGCATAAAAATCATAGTATACCAACTCACTTTTTTTAAACAAAGAGAATTCAAAAATTATAAAGAGAAATGCAAATAAATCTATAACTAACTAAAAATATTATAGATAACACCCGTTATTATTTAAAAAAAAGTAAAATTTATTGTCTTTCTTGGTACGTAGAAAAAAAAGAGAGTAGTTAGTTGATTTAATCAAAAGATTAATTCTGAAATTGTTGTGCAAAAGAAATTTCATTGATACCCTTTATTCAAAAAGTGAGTGAATATTGTACAATCGTAACCGTCCACGTGGATTATAAAATATAAGATGAGCTGCCGACGTGCTTACTTGTCGCTGTTCCTTATTCAGTCATCCACATGCTCATAAAGTAAAGAAGGACTCGCTTGCAATAAAATAAAATAAAAATATTCAATATACGACGATGATGATGATGATGATAAATCAAATCAAATCAAATCCCGGGGCCCACTTAGGTGCAAAGCAATATAATCTCATTCGTTAACACACTTTCTTCATTCTCTCTGTTGCTGACTCATCACTGTAACTGAAAATGGCGGAGAACTCCAACGGCAATCGCGTCCACGTGGAACAAGAAGAAGAAGAATCCGAAAATCTGAACTACAGAAACGATAAACCAGTGACACAAACCTTGCCGAAGGTCCTTAACCGTCTCGCTTCCGGCATACTTTTTCCGGAACCGGCCGACGGTAATTCCTTACTTCGCCGGATCAAAAACTCCGTCGCGGAGAACGCTTGTCTCATTCCAGAAGCTTCTAGAAACTCCGCGCACGATGTTCTCCTCTGGACTCGCCGTGGAAGTCCTCTCCGCGCTCTCCTCGTTATCTCTGTAAGGAAAACTTCAATTTCATGATTTTGAATTCTTGATTGAATGGAGTTTTTGAACGGTTTGAAGAATCTTCAACTCTTTATAGATCTCGATGTGATTTCAGTTCTTTATGTATGTCTTTCGGATTAATTTTGTTTTTCTCTTCGCTAATTTTTGTAGTTGATTTTCACCTTGGATTGTTTCCTTCTTTGATTCCTTTCTTTGTTTATGCATAAAATACAGTATATCAATCTAAGATGAAATTATAAAACTAATCAAATTGTAGCGTGGTTAAGTAATGATGCATGTGACTTGGATTGTGTTCACATTTAGGGTAGAATCATTCCCAAGGATGTAAGATTTTTTTTATGATTCTAGTCTTGTTGTGATCATAACTAGGTTTAAATTTTTCCACCAATTTTGTTGATTTTTAAAATTTGTCTGTATTTGAACTTGTTTTCATCCCCTAAATTTAAGAAATTGTATGTTTTGTTGTTTCATATGTGTAAAATTCAAATTGAAATTGGGATTATAATAATTTTAAGAGTTTAACTTTCATACACACCAGTCAACAAATCACAATCAAATATGTGTGCGACTATAGAAATAATTATGATAAAAACCACAAAATCTATTTATATTGACAATGAATATGAATTAAATCTTAACTAAAATAGTTTCATAGTTTTTACTTTTTACATTTCTAGGTTTTCCATAAACCCAAAATAAAGTCTTCTGTTATGATATTATATGCATGCTGGATTTTTTTAGCCAACAAACTCTTACCCTTGTATGTCTGTATGATACTGATATGCATATCAAGGAAAAGATGAACGAAAAAATTACCGTTTGTTTGGAATGCATATGATTCGTTTTTCCTTTTTGCTGCAGGTTGGGACAGTTACTTTTGTTTCTCTTACAGGACTGCTTGTATTTATGCTTTTCTTTCTGACCGCAACCGTAAATGCCATTGTCATATCGCTGCTGATGTCTTTGGCTGCAGCTGGAGGGTTCTTGGCTCTTTTCTTTGTTTGTGCTACCGCTATATACGTTGGAGCACTATCAATAGCCATATTTGTGATTTCTGTTACTACATTCTGGACAATTGTGGCTGTTCTGATTACCTCAGGTAACAAATTGTTTGGCTTCCTCGCCCTTCTCCCTTTTAATGTCTAGATATTGGGTTTGAGGTTTGATATTCTTTTGCTACTACATTGTTTTTAAAACATTTACTAGTTGTGGGAAATCAAGAGTTTAAGTACAACTATAGACATAAGATATGAAATCATATAAACTGCTTCCTTTGGAGGCAATAAGGCAGACACTTGGTCACAACACAATAATGAATAGTAGTTTATTGTTCTTTCCAGTGTGGAGGAGTACATGTGAGTGTGCAAGCAGTAATGCTAGTTTGTTGTCCTCCTGATTGCATGTACGTCGTCAAATATGGAAATGGATGTTTCCAATTGACCATTTAATTGCACCGATTTTTGGAACATTTTCTTAAATGAAACATCTCATGAACCCCCAATGAACATGGGCACTATAAGGGAATGAATTCTCTCCATCGATATGAAAGAATGGTAAAATCTACAGTCTTGAATAGAAAAAAGGTGAGATGAGTTTTTAATATAAGAAATGGGATTGAAAAGTTTAAGGGGGTTTAAGGACCATGAGATTGAATACACATGACAGAACATGAAGGGGGAAAATGGAGAGCGTCCATTCCCACACTTTAATGTTGTATTGTGTGGTCCCCTGCACACAAGTGTTGATATTCTTACCATTTGACACAGTTGCTATAGACTAGCATAGTCTGTGTTGATGTTCCTTCTTTAAAATTTCAACAAACCACCATAGACTATTTACAAGAATATAGCCATAAGGTTGTCATCTATAATTAACTGCAATTTGACATTCCCTGATGAATTTCTGTAATGTTTCTCAATCTGTTTCATTTTTTTTTATTCTGTTGGATAACACTGTAATGTTTCTTGGACATGGAAATCAATGTGAACCAGGGTGGATCGGATTCTTCTATACTGTGTGGCTGATAACTAGGAAGAGCTTCGGGTTGGCCAAACACTCATTGAGTGTTACTGGCTCTGCAATCACAACTTACTCTTCTTCTCGGGCAGCACGGCACCTAATACACAAAGATTGAGATTAAGGGAGAAGCAGTTAAGCACAATTATAAGCTTATGTACAAATCTTTAGTTACATTTGCATACCTTAAAACTATACAAACTTGTATTGACTAGTACTAGTAAGACGCCTTGTATCTAGACCTTTCACAGTTTGGTTTCAGTGCCTATTTTTATTATGTACTTGTGCATTGGCATATATTTTTATCAATAATCCAGATTATCGTGTGCTGTGTTGGAAGTTTGATGTTAACATAAGAGACATCTCTTCTTTAGTCTTATCTGTATATCATTTTATATCAGATAAAATAATACCAGTATCAAGTTAACCTGTGATTAAATGATGTAACTATTCTACTGTGCCGTTAAATATAAATTTAGTGGAAGGATCAGATGATTTACTTGTTACTAATATACATTATCTTTTATTTCTGAAATAAATAATAAGAGGAGCTTACTGAAAGTATATCAATCTCATGCGCAAGGATGGCGATAGTTGTAAGCAATGGCGGATCTCAAGTGAAACAATCACACCTTAATTGTAAGAATGATTCTGCGCAACAATTGTTAATAGAATAAGAAAGAAAGAAGATTAGGGTTTAACAAAATAAGGGAAGAGGAGAATGATTTATGCAGAGTAACTCTCTGCTCTCAAATTGAGAAAAATATAATTCAATTGGGCAACTGCACTTTCTGGTTACAATATTATTTTATATTCTTCTTACTCAAAATAAGGGTTACTTCTTCTATTTATAATTGAGCTACCTTACTCCCTAAGGTAAAGCCTAAATACACAAAAGCCCAAAATTTATATTTGGTCTAAGTCGAAATCCTGTGTCAAGCAACCTACTTCGATATTTCGACATCTAACACAACTCGACACACACACTATGCTAATTTCAACACATCCTTGTTTTTGTCAGGCTACACTTGTTTCGAAACAAGGAATTACAATCTCAACACATCACCTAATTCATTGTGTCTGAGCTATCTATATTCATCATAGACCTTAGCTTTTGAACACTTCGACTTACACTCATTTTGACATGATATTTGCAATCTGATTCTCAGTTCTGCAGTGTCCCAAGTTCATCTTCCCTAATGCTACCTGCTCTTGAAGATAATGGAATCTCATTTCCATGTGTTTTCTTCTCCCATGTGCTATCAAAATCTTCGCCAGGTTGATAGCTTACATGTTATCGATCTTCATGGTCATTGTTCCATGACTCTTCGATGTAATCTCTTCAACCAGGTTCACCGTCCACTTTTCTTCACATGCACAGAGAGAAACAACTATGCAATCTGCTTCGCACGACAACAATGTCACTACTGGCTCCTTTCTTGAACTCTAAGCAATCGGTGCACTACCTAGCATAAACACTTAGCCGGCTGTGGATTTTTTATTCTCAACATCACTACACTAACTTGAGTCGGTGTATCATACTAACTTTCATTCTTTTCCTTCATCAAATACAAGAAATAAAATGTCATAGTCGAGAGTTCCTTTCAGATACCTTAGTATCCTCTTCATCGCTGCTAGGTGTAATACCTTTGACTTCTCCATGAATCTCCTCACCATACCTACATTGTATGCTAGATCAAGACTTGTGTGATAAAGGTATATTAATGACCCAATAAGTCTTCTATAATGAGTTAGATCGACATAATCTTCATCTGATTCTTTCGACAATTGCAATCTGGGCTCAGCTGGAGTCGAAGTTGGGTTGCAATCTTGCATCTCAAATCTCTTGAGTATTTTGCATGCATATCTTCTTTGATGAATCATTAAACCTCTATTGCTCTTGTAGGATTCGATACCAAGGAAGTATGAAATATTTCTCAAATCTGACATTTCAAACTCCTCACTTAGGTCATGTTTGAAGTCTTTGATCTCCTTCTTGCAACTTCCTATTATCAATAGGTCATCAACATAGAGACATAATATAAGTAATTCACTTTTACTTCTTCTTACATATACTTCATGCTCAGTTATGCACTTCACAAATTCTTTCTTCCTTAAGAAGCTATCTATCTTCTTATTCCAAGCTCTTGGAGCTTGCTTAAGTCCATACAAGGCTTTTTGCAGCCTGTATACCTTGCTTTCTTCGCCTTGTTCACAAACTCAGCTGGTTGTGCGACATAACTTCTTCAGCTAAGGGTTCATTCAAGAACGCACATTTCACATCTATTTGACATATGTGCCAATTTTTCATGTTTGTTAGACCAACAACCAACCTGATTGTTTCGATCCTAACAATAAGTGCAAAAACTTCATCAAAGTTGATTCCTTCTTTCTAAAGAAATCATTTTGCTACAAGTATGGCCTTGTGTCGAATTACTTCTCTTTTGGGATTCAACTTCACCTTGTATACCCAATTCACATAAATTGCCTTATTCTCTTGAGGCAATTCGACAAGTGACCATGTGTTTTTGACTTTAATGGACTATAGTTTCTCATTCATTGCTTTCACCCATTTTGAATCTTTCAATGCCTCAACTGCATTGACTGGTTCAACATCTGCATAGAAAACATAATATACCATCTCACCTTCTTCATTGACCACATCATCTGATGTAATCACACATTCTTACAACCTTGCAGGCATGTGTCTTGTTCGTTGAGGTCTGCTTGGGCCAGATTCACCTCTGACTTCTTCTTGTCGAACATCTCTTTCGACTTCACTAGTTAGTTCTTCGTATAAGATTCTCATTGTATCCTTCTTAACACTCTCAGTCCAATCTCATTCTTTAAGCTTATCTATGATCACATCCCTGCTGATCACTACTTGCTTGTTCACTGGGTCGAAAAACTTGTGTCCTCCAATCGAATGATATCCTATTAGGATCATTTATCTCGACTTGTCGTCAAGTTTTCTTCTCAACTGATCTGGCACATGTCTATGTGCTATAGATCCAAACACCTTCAAATGACTTAGGCTAGGATTTACAACAGACCAACATTCTTCTGGCGTGATTCCTTCTAACTTCTTTGTTGGACATCTATTCAAGATGTATGTTGTTGTCGACTCAGCTTCTCCCCATAATTCTTTGTGTAGATGTTTTCCTTTCAACATACTTCTCACCATATTCATGATGGTTCTATCTTTCCTTTCTGCAGTTCCATTATGGCGTGGAGTGTGGGGTGGCACCACCTCATGCATAATCTCTTCTTTCTCACATAATGCATCGAAATCTTTCGGCACGTACTCTCCACCACCATTAGTCCTCATAATCTTTAGCTTTTACCATTTTATCTTTCAACCATAGATTTAAATTTGGCAAATACCTCGATCACTTCACTTTTCTTCTTGATCAGGTAAGTTCATAGTTTTCGACTTAAATCATCTATGAAGGTGACAAAGTATCCGTTACCTCCAATCGAATCCACCTGGATAGGACCATATACATCAGAGTATATGACTTCAAGAATTGCCTTCGACTTACTTCATGCATCCTTGCTAAAGTTATTCTTGTGTTATTTCGCCCGAACACATTCTTCACACACTTCACTTGGAATGTTGATTTCTGGTAATCCTGAAACCATATTTCTTCTCTTCAAATCTCTGATGTCTTTTGAAATTCTGGAAAGTAGATTGCAGATGTCCTAACAACATGTCACAACATTGTTCTCTGCATAACTTTAAAATAAGGGCAGAATAAACAAGCTGAAATTCTGAATATTAGCAACAGAATCACGGCTGATGTTTCAACACCTGTTACAACGTGTTAATCAATAAGCAAACACTAAACTATAAATTTGCATAATGATAAATAACACAAAATATGTTAACCTAGTTTGGTGCAATTCACCTATATTTGGTGGCTACCAAGCCAGGAAGAAGAATCCACTATCAGTAGTATAATTTTATGTAAACGACCTCTGGTTTACAGTAAACAACCTCTGGCTTACCTGTCACTACCCAATGAAAACTTTATCATTAGAAGTCACATCTAATTGATAAGAGAAACTCATCTCACTCCCTTAATCACTACCTGTGATATCTAAAAGTTACAATCGACAACAACTGCATCATCCTACTTGAAAGACACCTCTTTCAATACAAAGTTCAGCCAAGCAACCTTGACTAACAAACCTACTTGGATTTTCTTCAAAGCTTCATTCAAGAACAATAAACAATTCATTACCTACGTGTTTCTGAATCTGTATAAACATCTCTGTCTGCCACAATGTATCCAACCGGTACAAAGAGAGACTTACAACACAAGAAAGCCTACGACTCTCAAAATCCTAAACCCTTATTTTCTACTTTACAAGTATTACACAAGAATTTGATGTTCAGCCCTAGGTCTATGTCTTCTTTTATAACCTTCAACAGTCCATAGGCTTCAAAATAACTGTTTATTTCTTCCTTGATCCATGTTCTAATTGCTCCTTAAATCTTGGACCAGATTAGCAACAACCTATTATATCAGGTCAAGATGTCGAGACACAAGCTAGGACATCTTGTCTGACATGTCTTCTTCATCAAACTTCTTTATGTTGGAATATTTTGCACAACATCCTATTTTACCAAAATTTGCTCAAATCTGCAGAGCCTTCAATCTCCCCCTTTTGACAAATTTTGGCTAAAACTCCTTAGGTAGAAAAAGAAAGTCTGAATGTAATTCAATTTCATCCAGGGAGTACTGGATATGATTGACATACTTATGAGGCTCCCTCTTTCTCCTGAAATTCCTAGCTGCATGTTGGTGTACATGAGGAAGAAGATGTAACACACTTCCTCTCAAACATATGCTTGCCACAGATAGGTAAATCTTCCTCATGAGGGGCATAAGAGAAACTTTAAGGAGATCCAAAAAGAGCTTAAGAAGAAGCAGATGTAGTATACGTAACACATAATACATAAAGGATGTAACTCAGGTCATAAGACACAACCTGCTTCATAACTCAGATCACAAGACACAAATGAAGAACTCAGAGAAGAACTTGAGACTCAGACATGATGTTAGAACATCTCATCCAACATCCTTGCAAAACCACCACTATAGGAATGGACTC